GCTGCCTGCCATGGCGGGGATCATGGTCCGACCTCCTGCCAAGAGCCATAGCAACGCTGACTAGTCTATCCGCCCCTCCAAGGAAGCCTTGATGATAAGCACCTAAAATGAAGCGTCGATCTAGAAACGAGTTCCTCTTGCATTCGGAATGGAGACAATCCGACTGCTACTCTGCTCCTTCGGGTTAAAATGACCCCTTCCCCCCTCCAGGCCCTCTAGAGGCGGAGAAGGCATCGTAAATGTCGACTCGGTGACGCTTTGATATCGACAACTGTCTCCCCCGCGCGCCTAGCATGGGTTTTCGTAAATCCCGCATCCCCTTTCTCGTAGAGCCGTTTTTGGTCGGCAGGGGCCTCAGGAACGTGGAAGCTTTCGGTCTGATTCCACTGGCTGCGGTTCAGGGGTCGAGGAAGGGCTATTTTAACCTTATCACAGGAGGTAATCGGCCAACCCGCAACTCTATTAGCCAACTCAACTAGGATCAAATTAGATCTAAAAGTCGTTGTTTGAACATATTAAAGTGATCTGTGTGATCTCATCAAGTTGTCTGAGATTAGAAAAAACCACATTTCCAAAGATTTCTGTTGAAGCTCTCGAAATCCAAATCTACATGTATGCCACATTACCTTATGTGCTCTATCAGAATATATCTCAAAGTCATCGAAGGATCGCATTCGCTCCTTTCTTGTAAGCATTTGCAATCAATAAGAGAAAACATCCGAAAGATGACACATTCTGTTCATGTTAATCCAAGGGTTCGAGTGAGTTGGAAAGCCGGCCCTCTTTCGCCAAGAGTGTCCAACACGATGGGTCGCGTCATGCATCCTCACTGCAACCAGGCCACGCCACCACCAGCCCGCACTTTCTTGCCAACTTTGAAAGGGGAAAAGATATAACAACCTTGAGAGGAATGTAGAGCCGGGAATATCAAGCAATGAGGTTGCGGTCGCTTTTTCAGAGAGGAAGGTGGCAATGTTAACCGTGCTCTAGACCCGTTCTCACGGTAGTCCTTGGCGGGAGTGGCCGGTCAAGACCCATGGCTCCCGCAGGCAATACGCGGGGATACTGCAAGGTTGATATGTGGGCATTTCCGCTTTTGAGATTCAATTGCCTTCGGGAACTACCAACGGCCAAAGGCGAGAGCGTTCGACGAAGACTTCAGAGCCCAGAAGACTACATTTTCTCCTGAAATGGGCTCTAACCCCGCGGGTGGAGCATCGCGTAAAGATCCCTTAGCGAGTCTTGGGCCCGCCCATGATTCAAGGCTCGATGCGGGTGCAATGCCTGTCTGGCACAGCGGTTACTGAAGCAGTTGCTTGGCTATTATTCCCATTGCCAAGATGTAGCATCACCGTCGAGGGACGGCAATTTTTAACTAGCCTGGTATAGTCTGTCGGCAAAAACTGCAACCCAGCCCATAGCACGTGAAGTTGTAGAAACTTAGACCGGGGATAACGTCGGACGATGGGCTTCTCAACACACCGCAGCCGTTTTGTGCTCAGCACTCAGTTCGTCTAGTCGTCGTTACCAGGCGCGATTCTTTCCCTTGTAGTCCTGTGAACCCTCGTTGGATCTCCATAATGCTTTTGGTGGTGTTTCTGCTCGGTCTAACTTGTAGGCGCGCGGGGTGACCCGTGCCTACAAATTCTTGGCTAGGTCACAAGTATGTACCCAACGAGATCAGATTATGAGAGCTGAGACGACTGGCTGCGCCTGCATGCATCTCTTGCGTGACGAAAGTTTAGGCGATTATCTGCGGCTAACATAAGTAAGGCACCCTTGTCACCAATAGCCCCGACCTTTCCGTCCTTGTAGTTACGACCACCAATGAGATGCTCGCCAATTGTAGTCCAAGCTTACGTTCCATGAGCTGTGCTAGGATCGCTCGGGAGCCTCCTCTTGAGTCTCGAGACTTTACATGTACTCACCCATCGGCAGAAATGACCAAGAGTCTGAGCCGGTCCGGGATCCTGGGTTGCATTCCCCCAGCCGTTGCAACTTCCCCGCTCCCGGGATTCTTGAATCAGGATGCCGGACTGGCAGGTTTTGACGACTCGGTTCTCTCTCAACCCGATTCCAACCCCGGCATAGGTCGCCAATTATAGACCCGTAGTGCACCTCGCGGAACAAGGCCCGAGACCTAAACCATGCGGGAGAGTTGCACGTAGTGGAGCCGCATCCTGGAGTTCTCATTGCGCACTTGGGGTCACTTCCACGATGTAAGGGTACAGCACTGCATCTAGGGGTCATTACACGTAATCTAGTCACGCGCATGGCCAGGACGAAATCACTCAACCAATTTCATGTCTTGGCAAAGACGGCGGAGCGGGCTTCCTAGGGAGGTTGGCATGGACTTCAAGATGGGGTACCTTTCCGCCGGCCTGTCTGCCTGGCGGTCAACGTTCTCTGAATCTTGAAAATCCTCGTAAATCCAATACTTATGATATCCTGCAGACTGATCCGGTGATCGGAGTAATACGGAGGCCTCACAACATGCCATTGCCCGCGTCGGCTTTCCCGGGTTGAGAATGTCAAGTCCGCAGAGTCACGCTGCAGCGTGTCATTCACCGCCTATAGTTGTCGTGATGAGAAAACACTTGCGTCTGCTAGAAGGCCAAGACAGTCCATCGAAGGAAGCGACGGGAGAAAGTGATGGTTCAATCTTGGCAATGGTCGTTGACGCGGGTATCGACATTGGGTCTACGACCTCATCCTCTGTCGTTCCGAGTTCACTTTCCTTCATGGAAGAAAGTTCCAGTAGGGACACAGTTCGATTGGGATTGCTCTCAAGACTCTCGAAAGTTTAGGTGGGAAGTACCTTTTGAGACTTGTGATAAAATGACGACGATTTCCGTGCGACGATCTGAATATCCCCAATCACAAGCATCAACTTTCTATCTTATCAGTAAACTCAAGTCATCATGCATCTTCTTCATGTCTTTATCGCTATCTGGTCCCTGTTGGTGGCTTCTGTGTCATCTCAAGAGGCCCCTATTTGGGTTCAAGGTGCTCTTGAAGACGCGACTGCAACTGACGATGCCTTCAACACAGGCGGAACAATTGTCGTCAATGGCTTTACCGTCAATGTGCCAAAGAACCTTCTGGTACAGTTTCCAGCTGCCTGGGTGCCCTGGAAAGAGTTTGTCGCCAATAAGGCGGATTTCACCGGATATGAGACTTTGGTATAGATACCGGGCATGCATCTCAAAGTCAAAGAGAGCATTACTGATATCCACGTATAGGTCATTGGAAATAGCATCAACGGAGAGCCTCGTGTTGCTCAAGTCCAACTCTACGAATTTTTCGAAGGGTTGAGCAGTGGCTTTGTTGAGTCTGTAGACTTTGCGGATGGAAGTCTCAAGATCCAGAACGGGCCAACCGTCAGGATTTCAGACCCGAATGCTGTTTTCTCAAAGGGCTATACCGGCGCGCCGTTGATGACTGCGGATGATCAGAGTCCCAGTATCACGTCATTCTCGGGGTTTCCCATGTGCATTCCGCGCAATGGGACTGATCCTCTCTGTCCTTTGAGCAACCGACCTTTTGTCGGGCCAGGCACTTTGTAAGTCAATTTATCCCTTGATATCGTCATAGAAGTCCAGACAACAAGTTGACTTTGAAAAAAGTACGGCACCTGACCCAGTTGTAATGGCTCCATTCCAAGCCGGCGATTTCATTACCTTTTCCGGGTTCCGTCGAGGCGCTGAGGTCATTGCCTTCAGTATTGTGGCGCAGAACGTGCAGATCAATACTCTCGGCGATGTCGTCTACGTGAGAATGGAACTTGGTCTGCTAGGAATTGACAACCCAAATCCCAATGCTGAAATTGCAGAGTCTCGAGTGAGTGCGATCAACTCGACATATCCTAGCCATATTGGTCAAATTGCTGACAATTGACCCTCTGCAGTTCATCGGCTTTGTCTCCAACAATCGTGCCACAGTCTCTCTGTACGCAATGGACGTTGATCCCTGTACAGGCGCAACTACCGACCGCATCATTGCCTCCATGGGACTTCGCGGTGGCCGTAATGCTCAGAACAAGTTTGAATACCGCAACAACATCCTCTTCAGGTATACCCGAGAGTACCGAGTCACCGCTGAGATTGATGGAGTGGCCAAGACCCGCGTGACCAAGAACGGAATCACTGCCGGGACATACGTCCAGCCTGTCAACGTGTGGGTCCCCGGAGAGCAAGATGTGCCTGGTGTTCCGCCAGTCTCATACGACTTCTCTCAGATGGAGTTCCTGACGAAGGGCGTCGGCGCTGACGATGATGGCAATGTTTGGGGTCCCCTCGAACCATTCCCTCAAACCGGCGTGCTCATTGAGCCACCCGTCTGCGCTACAGCTCGGGGCTTGGAATTTGAGAAGCGAGGCCAGATCGGCAGATGGTATGGCCGAGCTCGCGCGGATGCAATCTCCCAGGCAGAGAATGTTAATACCACTGAGGCCTTTGTCAACATTGCTCCTGATGAGGCTGCAGCGATCGCGGAGAAGAAGGCCGAGGAAGAAGCTATCAACGAGTCTCCCTGAGTACCTACCTCGGGATGATTGGTGCTAACACAACTTTTGACGATTGGAGATGTGTACGGCCATCCCGACGCGTACCGCCAGTCCCTTCATTACATTCTACACTTTTTTTCATCTCAACATCAATCACCACAAATGTTTCACTGTAGATACTTTCACTCCCTGCAGCACTTGTCTGCAAAATATACGACACAAGATCTCGTATACAGTAGTCAATCATCATCGCAGAATTGCCTTTCTCAGCTTGAGAGAGTGGATTGAAACTTCCATCGTGTTCTTGCAAGGAAGACTATGTACACTACTTCATACCAATTGTTGAATGTGTTCAGAAGAATGGAGCATATGTACAGCAGAAAGAAACTGGGAGCTGGCAGCTCCAACATCCTGAAAGACAGTATTGCTCACCGGAATTGAAAGCAGGTGAAAGTTGTCTTTCAGATAACGCCTCCCAACCAACAAGTCTTAATCATCAAGCAGGAGTATTGACGGTAATGCTAGCCGATCCGCTGCTGTAATAACCTTCGGTGGCCACGATCATGTAATTATGGGTTCCGAGGTTGAGCCCGACTGATGCCCAGGCCGCGAAATGGTTGCCAGTTGTTACAGTACCACCGGTGCGCTTGGAAGTTCGCTGTTGGATATATCGTTAGTCCGAATTCCTCTAGTACTGTGACTAGTCTGGAGACTTTTGACACAGGGGACTTACAATGGACCAATACTGTTGGAAGGTCTTGGTGCCCTCAATGCTGGGCTGGTTGACGCGGGTGCTGACATAGATGTCATAGGTGCCGCCGTCACTGGTGACAGAACCCTTCTTCGTAGCAGCGGAAGCTGGGTTGTAGGTGCCGTAGTTTTCGACAATGTAGTACTCAATCAGAGGGTTCTGAGTCCAGCCGTAGACAGCCAGGTACTGTCAAACAGGTCAGTTTTAGATGCACCAGCACACCGTCGACTCTTCAATTCCTGTCGCGTTTACTTACACTATTTCCATTGGGGTTGTAAGTGCCAGAGTAGTTGATGGTCCTAAAAGGTCAACCGATTAGAGATGCTGTATGTCATAAGAGATATAGACTTACTTGGAGCCTCCCGGGTTCCAACCCTTGCCTCCGACAAAGTTGCCGCCGCCGCCTCCCCAGTTGACGCTATAGGAGCCGCCGGCGCCGTTGGTGTAAGTGACTTGGGACCCTCCATCAGTCCACCACGAATAATAGTATCCGTTGTGGTATCCGGTCGAGCTTGGAGTGGATTGTCGCTTCTCGATCAGTTCCCCGGTAGGACTGGCAATGGCTCCGAAGACAGTCGCCAACGTAACAAGCGCTCTGGAGAAGGAAACCATGGTGGTGGCTCTGTTTGATCAATGGATTCTACTATTCTTCAATTGTTGAGTTAGAATTGTTCTGCTACTGCTGACTACCGGATCTATGCCTCTTTTATAATGTGTAGTCGGATGCTATTCTTGTCTGACTGGACAGGAAGAATTGGGCGAAATGAGGCTAAACGTGTCTGACAGCAACCGCATCGATACGTCTTACACCCAATGACTTTATCGCGGTTGAGACAGAAGATGTTGACATGACTGGGTGATTACAGAAACGCCCTCGTGACAAGTTCGGCGTTACGCGGCAGTTGCCTTCCAAGTTTGGTACACTAAGCACTTGGGACCTTGGCACCGGGAGATGGAACTCAGGCTAAATCCCACATTTTGGTGTGTCGCCCGACATAATCTGGGGTACAGCGGCACTGCAATCTCTAGAAATACTCGCGATAGTTAAGATCTGCAAGCCGTCCCGCTCTTGCAGCGGCAACGATTTTGCCATAACATTTTACCCGTCGTCTAGACCTAAAATGTATATTGTCACACCGGAGGGAGAGCTTGGCCTCCGATGACCAGATCTGGTATCGGCTGAATGGAAGCCATCGTGAGTCGACGCATACTGTTGATTGGTTTGCTTGCAAATGCGACCCCATTTTGCGGTTAATGGTGAAAAAATTCAACCTATACCGAAGCAAGAAGCTTCGTCCCGACTACTTGAGTTTTGAGGTTGAGGAGCAGGTAAAGGCATCGCCGAGTTAAAACATTCTTTCCTTGAGTGAATGAACACAAAAAAAGTTTGGCAAGTAGAGTGCACTCAAGTGATATGCTCGGGTGAAATCACATGTGGTGTCGGAGCATATGATTGATGCACATTCGAGTCGAATAGTTTACTACTAAATGGGTGAAAAACGTGCTCTAATCCTTGCATATCGTTCCAGGTAGGCATCTTTGAAGGCAGGAGAACGGTGGAACTATGCAATATGCTACTTCGACCGGCAGCTGTTCAAGTTGACAACGTGTTAAGAGTCCTATAGGAAAACGGCGGTTACACGTGACTAAGTTTCACGCAATTGATCTTCCTGCAACGCCAAGGCGAACGACACTGGGGTTGACTGACGATTTGCTTCCGCTTGTGTAAATCTATGGTGCCAAGGTGCATCACCTGGGCCGGTGGATCGATTTGAGTTTAGCGAACAGTAAGTCTATTCCTGACGTCAAGAGAACGAGGTCTAGGAACTCGCCAGGCTAAAATTGCTAAAATTGTTATGCCAAGAAAATTTACCTCATCTGGAATTGTGAATCACCTCTATGATTGGGGAATTGAGCACTACAGTGGCTCAGAATAATTCTCCTGATCGTGACCAGGATGCGGAAACACGGTCCTGTCCACGGCAAAACTTGCCGCGGACCTGATACAGGCACAGGTTCAGGAGCTGGGGGCGAGGCAAGGATAGGCACATCCTCTACCGAGAGCGACGATCTCGCAGTCTGCACTCTGTAACAACAATAGCGCGACAGAGTAAGATCAGGTGGCATTGGTGGGCTGTGGCTGTGTGGCCTCAGCTCCTGATTCTCACATCGCCCAGACTCGTCGCAAAGTCGGCGCAAGTAAAAATGAGCTGGAATGAGAGCGTTAATGACACATCCTTAAGACGGGTTTGGACGATCAACTTTTGGGGAAGATGGGACTTATCTGGGGGAGGCCGAGGACTGCGCCGCGGAAACAGAATTCAGCGAGGCAAATGATTCAATCGTTGAGGTGGCCGTTTGTGATTATTTTTATTCACCCAAGAAATCCAACCGTGATTCGAGTCATTCCGTGACAAATGGCTGTAGTGATCTACAAAGTCGGTGGCCGGCGGCCCCGATCCCCTCTAGGCAAAGACATCCCCAGCCCAGCCCTCGACCGGAGAATAATGCACGATTCCGGGGGAGTCCATTTTTCTGTTCTGCTCTTGGCGAAAACAAGAGTCTGCTCCTAGAACATCGCGCGTTTGAAGACGGCCTCGCTTCCGGAATCCCTGACCACCAAGAGGTCAGAGGTCACCCCAAAACAAGCGTCATTTCTAATACGGGAAGGCAGCAAGCTTAAAGTAGGGTTCCCACGTTATCCCAACAATTGGCTCTTGTCAAGAGAGACCGGGCCTCTTTCAAAATCATGCACAGCGAAACCCAGAAGTGCGGGGGTTCGCGTTTGGCAGAACAAGCTTGAATCTGGTCTCGAGGCCCGCCAGGGGCCCTGGGCAACGAGACCTGTGGAAAAAATCTGGTCCCATCTGCGGTCCAATTGTAGCCCAAGTTGCATTAACTTTAAAGCTTGAAACGGCGATGCGGACAAGTTTTGCGACAAGATTGGTGAAGGTCCTGGAGGGGAGTCCGACCTAACCGACTTCGAGGTGTGCCGAAGAGCCGGGGCTACCCTGGTCTGCGGCACAATAAGCCTCGTTTGAGCTGCTGATGTGACGGGATGATCAGGCATCTGAACAGGTCTTGTTGCAGGATGAGGCTCATGGCTGTCATCTCGAGTCAAAGAAACTCATCTGGAGTGTTGCTGAACGTAGTGGTGCACTGGTGCTCAGGTGACACCGCCATCCGGAGTTTCAGGGTGTGACAGCAAAGTCTGTATGTAAGCATTGAGCATGTGGTGGTGGCATACCATCGAGGACTGGATCTCAACATACATAAGAACATGAAGAGGATCTCCAGCTCCGGCACAAGGCTTCTCTTCTGTTTTGAGCGTCTATCTGGCTATCTCCTTTCTACTTCTTACTATTACATTCATTCCGTGCTGTGCGCGGCTCTTTTTAATTGAGCTCTCATTCATTAAGACCTGGTGTCACTTGCGCAAAGAATACCACTCACTGTCACGAAGTATCACTACAACCTTACAGTCAACATGAGGTTCTCAACTGCCGCTTTCTTTGCCATTGGCCTTTTGGCTGGCAACGTCATTTCCGGTAAGCTCATCCTTGATTACGTTCCAATCCCACGAGCCTAAGTGTACTAATACGGTCCCCCAGCCCCCGCGGTCCAAGGAAACGATGTTGCCCTCCCGATCGAAGTCCGTGCAGAAGACTTCGTCGCAAACGACGCCGCCCACCTCGAGGCCCGAGCGAAGAAGAAGAGGGCTGCCGGAGCGGCGGCCAAGAAGAACAATGGCGCTGCCGCTGCCAAGGCGAACGCCGCCAACGCTGCCGCGGCAAAGAAGAATACCGGTGCTGCAGCGGCCGCGAAGAAGAACAACGGCGCTGCCGCTGCTGCCAAGAAGAAGAACGCCAATGCGGCAAAGAAGAATGCAAACGCGAAGAAGAATGCCAACGCTGGTAACAACGCCAATGCGGGCAACAATGCCAACGCTGGCAACGCGAATGCAGGCAACGCCAACGGTGCCAAGGGCAAGGGCAAGTCCCAAGCCGAGTTCTCTGGCTTGGCCTGCACCGATGGGAAGGGGGCTGGTGCTTGCAACGCCAACGGCCAGTGTGCCGTCAATGGCAAGACGACTGCTATCGCTGGCCAGTGTGGTCAGGCAGCGAAGAAGGCCAACAAGCGCTACGTCTCAGATGTCACCCACCTCATTTGAAGCAGCAGCCGTTGACGAGGGTTCGTTTTGGCGTAGGATTGGGCGGCATGGACTTCGTGGATTTTATGAACAAAAGGGGGAAATGATCATCGTAGCTTCGCCGACTCCATATATGTGTAATGAAAATTGATCGAGTCTCAAGCTCACATAGCTTCCTCACTTGGGTAGCAACATCAGGCGAAGTTCAATGAACACAAACCGGAATTCAGGTACCCCAAGGGATATGATGGCATCTATTCATGCGAGCTTGCTTTGTTCCTAGCATCTGCTCAATGATGCATACGCGTGTTCAAGAAGTTTTGGATAGAACCTTGGATTGTGGGCCATGAAGCAAAGAATGATGGGTCGAGTTGTTTCTGATTCATACTTCATTATAGCAGACATCTACGACTTCCTTTCCTTTCCAGCTTCCCTATCAATTCGCTGCTAGGACAATATAATACCAGTTGGTGTTCTTATATCCTCGGGAAATTGCCGTGGGTTCCATCCAGCGTCCGACTGGTCTCCACATTCACGGTATTCGGCATCGGAAGGGATGACGAGCCGCTCGCAGACGAAGTTTCTGGCAGCCTCTATTGCCATACGGGTGGGATGAGTCGCCGCCATTGCCATTGGTGTTTCGGAACATTGGCATCCTTTGGCAGAATGTTGCAGATCCAGAAACCCTGCGTCGATCAACTCCTGCCAGAATTTGACATCTCTGTCACGCTGGACCCGCCGTTCTCCATCATCTGCATCAATATTTGACGTAGAAGATGGTTTCGGGTTGACATGTCGTCTGTGGGGTTGCTGTTGGTCTCTGCCTTCTAGGACCGTTCCGATGATCAAGAGCCACCTGACTGCATCACACTTGAAGTGTCCCCTGATCAGAGCAAGTGCGGCGCCGACATGCCGGCTCTTCGCAGCGGCGATCATTGGCATGAGACCACGGAGGTGGCTGAGGCGGTGGTATGGGTTTAACCCATGGTGAGGTTTTGCGTTGTCCCCAAGTCCAAAAGGGCCATGTCCTTTGGAGAGCAACTCACGGATGGTTACCTCATCTCCGCGACTAGCAGCGACCTCAATAAGTGACCTGGCCGGGCGGCAGTAATCTGAAGTCGACTGAATCGAAGGGTCAAACCCCCATTTCTTTTTCCAGCTATGCTGGTAAAAGTGTCTTTCTAGAGCGTAAGGCGTGTGTGCAAGTACGTTGAACACCATAGAATGCCCATGTTTGACGGCCTCCTCGAGACACGTGTCAATGGCTTGTTTTAACCTTTCATTCCTCCTGTTACTGCCGTAATAAGTTTTGAAAGTGGTTCCCTTCTTGCGATGCGGCATTTGGTTATCCAATATCAATTGGAGTATCTCTAGCTGTTGCGCGCACACAGCTTCCAGAAGAATTTGACCCAAAGCCTTGCTCGGTACTCTTCGGTCTGCGGCATCCAAAAGAGCACTCATAGTCTCCAGGTCGTCAAAAGCCATGGCTAGCCTCCAGAAGTAAAGATCGTAGAATCTGACGCCCTTTATTTCCTTTCCTCGGACCGTCTTCGTTATTCTTTCTCGTGAAGTATTGATCTCGTAGTTAATCAGAAGAACAGCGAGGTTCGAACTGCCACTCCTGATCGCAGCTTCCATGACTGATCCCAGCAGCGAAGAAGCAGCGTATCTTCCATCCCGAGATTTTGTCATCCCAATAGAAGATAGTGATTTAGGACCTTTGTTCAGGATCTGAGATAGTACATGTCTCTCCGTGTCTTCTGACTGCAGATAGAATTTGGCAAGGAATAGCAAGTCTTCGAATGGCTCATTTGTGACGACGGAATCCGTCTCCGAAGGAAAAAGCAGATTTTGAAAATGATCACTGAAGAGGTCCCAAATTCCATAATGTTTTACTGCATCTGGAAGATGGACGGCTTGTTTGCAAAGATGATGGATGCGTCTGTACCGTTCTTCGCTGTCGAGATTCAAGCCATCATCTCGTATTGTCCTATCAGTGATGGCGTTGATCACTGTAGCTAGGCTTGTACTCCACGGTAAATGACGATATGGCTGGATCATGAGGTACTTTGCCAGGAAGAAGCTTGCATTACCGCGATGTTGCACGCGGCACTGGGGTGAGGCCATGTGCGAGTGGTCTTGCTTGGCAAGAATGCCGACTTCTGGATTGCGCCTCATCTTGTGAAGAAGTTTGGTTATGTAGATGGCTCTCATGACAATGATCTCGAATATCTCTGGCGTTCAATTAGCCCTGCTACAAGAAAATGGCTGATTCTGAAGGCGTGAACTTATTGGCCGTGATGAGAGAACACTCACTCGACACACGTAGAAGACGCGTTGCATCTCTCAAATTGAACTCGCTCTCCTCATCGTACGCAACGACGTCTTCGAAGATTTGATCAAGGCATTCCAACGGCAAGTCCAAGAGGCGTGTTGAGTCTATGCTGCAATCCATGGGGGCAAGGGCTCGTCCCTGATCCCTTTGAGCCATCGGAGCGGTTTCTAGCAGTTTGGTCCTCTGGTGGTGGTGTTGTTGAGGAGATTTTGCCCTAGTACAAAGCTCTCGAGAAACCTTGGATACGTGGATTTAGAAGCGAATATATTCAGGAGAAATCGAGTATAAAAATTGGTCCATTCCACTTTGTCATCAGGCTAAGAGGTTACATAAGTATCGAATGGGTGGTAAAGCGGTTGTAAGCCTGGGCCCCCTGTCGACCCAGGATAAGATTCCATTGGCTGAGTCCGATGTCACCAATATCCCCACTGAGGCCAATTCGCTTGTGAGGCCATTCCCATCGATGACCATGTGCAGCAGCAATAGTCATCGGTCAATCTCATTTTTTGCCTAGAGGTCTTTCGTTGAAACCAGAACCAAGCGTATCCTAAAGCGACTTGAATGAGCACAGCTATACACATTCATAGTTCTATTACCCAAAAAGCTTCACTTTCACGTTCATTATTGTTTTCCGCCTACTCCTTCTCGGATTCTCTAGTTCTGCGAAATTCAAAACGTCAATCACCTCATCATAGTTGGAAGATTTTTCTCAACGCTGCTCCGAACCGTTTGACTGCCTCTTCAATTTGAACCAGGGGTGCGGCAGCGAATGTGGTCCGGAAGAAAATCTCATTCAGCGGAATGTGCTTGTTGGCATTGAACCAACTACCCCGAGCAATGAGAGCGCCTTGAGCCAGTGCCTCTTGCCATATCTCCTCTTCAATCTCATTCGGAGACTTCGTTGAGGCATCGGGGTGTTTTTGCCAGTCCACGCCTAGCCATTGCTGCAAGGGTTTAGTAAAAGAACATTCTACATGCAAGTAATGTAGTACTCACAAACATGCCCGCCCGTGCCGGCTTCCATGCGACGATTTCTCGGGGCAAGTGCTGTTCGCAAGCTCGCACCATGAAATCCCGACGCTCAGTATACTCTCCACGGATATGTAGCATCCACTCAAGGAATCCGGCATGGCCCCAAAACTCATCTAGAAGCTTGAAGAATGCGAGTTGACTGAATCCGCTAGGTCCCTGCGTTGATACGTCGGCATGGGTTTTGTATCGCTCTACTACTGCTTGAGGGGCAGTAATCCAACCAATTCGAGATCCAGGGCTGATGACCTTGCTGAAAGAGTCCATGCGCATGACACGCCCGTCTACGTCGATGCCGAGGTATGTCGGGACGATCGCGTTTAGTAAGTCTGCCGGCGACTGAGGGGTGGTGGAAGGTGTTGTCAGTTCTGCGGATGGGCTGTAGGCGTCCATCTGAAGCCAGTAGTAGGGATCGTCTTCCAGAATGATCAAATCGTGTTGCTGTGCCACCCGGTAAATATCTCTGCGACGCTGTAGACTTTGAGTAGCACCAGTGGGGTTGTGACCTGTTGGGACGAGGTATAATAGGAATGGCTTCGCTGCGTTCTCGTGCTCTGCTGGGTTCCATGTGTCCAAGACTTGGAGGATGCTCTCTGGCAGCAAGCCTTCTCCATCCATGTCGACACCAAGGAACTTGACACCCATCGGCTTTGCAGTTTCGACTGCCGTTGAGTACGTGAACTTCTCTGATAGCACATAGTCACCAGGTTTGGCGAGCATGCGAAGGGCCATGTCTAGCGCCGAAGTGTTGCCAACGGTCATGGTGCATCCCCAATCTGCATAAGGGGGGTTGTGGACCATCTCGGTGTGTTCAATGATCCATCGCAGAAGCTGCGGAGACCCGCTACCTTGACCATAGTTCAGCGCTACAGAGATATCGAACACACTTCGGCCCTCGGAAAGGTCTGTTTTGCTCGATCGGAAGCATGCATCATCAACGGAGGAGTCTGATGCAGACTTTGACCTGGAGCTGCTTGGAACGAATGACGGCGTGAACGAGAGTGTCTCGAAAGGAAGGAATTCGCTGAGTGGAATACCGCCGCCAAGAGAGATAACATCCGGATTCTGTAGGTGCTTGAAAGCTGCCTTTAGCGAAGATCCTGTTCTCGCTGTCGATTCGTGAGTTAAACGGTCTGGTAGGTATGGCAAGGTTAGCTCTACCACAAAAGCTCTCCGCTGTCACTGTCACAGATTCTGAACTAGAACCAAGCACTCACGGTTCCAATCTTTGGCTAGTGGCTTATGCTTGTCTGTTCTGGTCTTGAAGTCTTCGGTGGTACATTGAGCTGCGACGCCCCATTTGCTGGCCGGGACCGTGCGCCGAGCCGGCTTCAACACGGCATCGGTGACAGTGTCCGGGATGGAGGCATGGTCGGAGTTGATGTATTCGCCCATAATTATTCAGGTGAAGATGCTGGAACTGAGTCACAATGATGTTAAACCCAATGAGCTAGAAGGATCCGTGGATGTCGAGATACCCAGACTAATTACTTATACAACGACGTTCAATGCTTTGCTAATCTGCGTTGAACCCATTCCGATGGCCCTTGACTCACGTCGAGCCGTCGGAGAGAGGGTCAAATAGAGATAGGAACAAATTTAATGGAGTCACAACTCAGATATCAGCAACGATTGGCACCGATTGATGTCTCACTTGTGGATAGCTGTAATGACATTCGCGCCTTTCCTCGCTCTCTGTGAACTAATCGGCGCAACCTGCTGCTCCTTATCGGGAATGTTCCTGTCAAGAGCGCCCTAAGAGTCTAGGATGGTGGGGGGAAACAAAAGAGAAATGGGACTACGGCGTGAGATCGGAGTGATGTGGGGTTCGGAGTGTCAAACTCAATCAAGAACACTCAACCACAACATCGCCGGAGTCAAAGGAGACCAGAGCTCGCCGAAAGACTTCTCTCCGAGCTGAACCTATGGATTCATTTCACAACAAGCAACAAACAGCCTCCTTGTAATCTGATGATGGTACATATGAGTCGGATATGAAAAACAAGATGAACGTTAGACTTGCTGCGTGCGAGCCCTGTCGGCGTTCGAAGCTAGCATGCGGGCACGAAAGACCTGCCTGCACACGGTGCACTGGCCGTGGGCAGCGGAGTCATTGCGTTTACAGATCTAGACCTTTTCGGAGAAGAGTAACGAGAACGCAAGTTCAAGAGACGGAGTGAGTCTGCAATAACGATTATATAATGGTGATGTTGGTGACTGACCCGCACTTACTTCCAGAAGCCTGATGTCAGTTGGGCCGGCAGAGACCATTGCAACGGCGACCTCGTCGACACCTCAATCTCCAGCTGATGCCCCGTCACCCAATACAGGAACACCGACAGCATCGACGCAGCCATATCGCTATCCTAACCCTGGCTTTCTCGGGATCTCAAGCCACTCTACCATCTTCAACCATGTCTTCTCCGGTGATGGTTTTGGGCCTGCTTCTGATGCAGATTTGACTCCACAGCCCAGTTTGGCATCACCAATTGATCTAGTTGGCAACCAGGTTGTCATGGATAAGGCGATGCATGCGCTGTCACGTCTAGAGAAGATGGACATCTCCAAAGTCACACCTCTAGTGCGTTCTTGGCTCGAAAGGGGAGTGAACTTGCCTTTGGCCGGACCTATCGTTATTGAGTGCTTAGGGTCCTTGGAACATTGGAGAGAAGTCCTCGCTCCAACAACTGATTTTTCTGGAGAGAGTGGTGACTCCGGCTCCGGAATCACAAGCGCTGGCTATGTGGCAACTCTGTTGACCAACACACTGCGGCCTTTTGACATGAGCTCTCAGTCAACTCGGCAAGACTTCCTGGCCCAGATGGTTGGGTCCAATTTGAGGTGGGAGACGTTGGGTATCTTCTTTGTCGCTGCAGCCAGGGCGGCTTATGACACTCCCTACTTTCCGCCCCTTTATACAACAAATGAGCAGCGGCGAAGACTGATGCAGGCACTAACTTACATCGGGGACTATTGCCTGGAGACAAGCCTCTCCCTCGATTGTCTTAATGATCTACAGTTGATCCTCCAATATGAAAACTTCATCGTTCATTCACATCTAGATGGTGATCAGAGTAAGTTCGCGGATTGAACCACCGAAGCCTGCCGCTGACCTTGCTCATACCCAGGCTACCATTCATGGAGACGAATTGGAGATCTTGCAAGTTCGCTCTTCGCACTAGGCTACCATGAGAAGATCGAGAGGTGTAATCCGAACCTCCCTTCTTTTATCATTGAGCTGCGAAAGGCTTGCTTTTGTCGAATCTACACAGCCGACAAGGGCTTAGCAGTGTTTCTTGGACGACCTCCGCGGATAGTGAAGGACTACTGCCAATTCCAAATACCCAAAGTGCACAATGGATGGATTGAAGACGAAGTTGGCGACGCAAAAATGGCACATCTTGAGCCCATTAATTACAACGCCGATACACGATGTGTTGCGCGATTTGCGCTTCTGAAGGAAGAGGTGCTTCAACTTTTGAGGAGAAAAAATATGACGGATGTCACGAAAAACATCAGGTTTGCTAAGACTAAGTCATCAATGACTCGTTGATACTGATTTTACTAGGGAGTTCCGCGGAAAGGTTGAAGCACTGTGGCAAGATTTGCCAGGTCATTTCAGGCTCGGTTCGAGCCTCCGAGAGTGTCAACAAAGCCCCTTTGAAAGAGACTTTTTAGCCCATATCAGGTTAGACTATCTGCATAACCTGTTCCTTCTTGGGCTCGTTTCACAGCAGCCTATCTCCGAGCCCAACGACGAACTCTTGAAGGTTGCGATAGAAATGCTTTCTATTGTGGTTGAGGTCATTCTACTACGCGATCAGTTGGTAAACTCCGGGACATGCCTCATCTGGAAAGTTGCGCAATACGGACTCCCCGCCGCGGGAGTAATTTCACTGGCATTATTGAAGGAAAATGCTGCTTCAGATGTTTTTTTGCACTCGAGGTCCAAGATGATCCAAGACCTCAGTGTCTTGGTTGCCGAGACTAGGACCGGAGCTTGGATTCAGGCCGGCGAACCGAATTTCGCGTTATTTACCCGAGCAACTGGGACAATCCAGACAATGCTTGACTCTTTGCTCGCTGCAAGACCATCTGCGGAACAGGTTCAAACGACAAACGTTGCTACTCTGGAAGTTTGGGAGCCTTATTCCAATCACCAGCTTTGGGACTTTGAGATGGAGTTCTGGTCTAATCTCGCAGAACACCCTACTCTGCTTGCTTGATGGATCTGGTTGAAGAAGCAAGTCAAAGTTACCGCTTCTCATGACTAAGCTTGCCCACACGCTTCGGAACGAGAAGGCGAATAAGAACATAATAATCTCGCAACTTGAGACTTTGCGTATTGGGAGGCACGTCTGCCTTCATACTGTCTCCATGTTCCTTTACTAAATCAAGATGTTCTGCCAAATAAGTTACTTCCTTCACTCAGGTGATTCATAGGATCGGCCTTAAACATTCGTAAGTTAATTGAGCTTGCCGAGTTCCGTAAGCTCCTTCGGAAATGGGCAGGTATTAGCACTACCTACCATAAGCAGCTCTCCGATATCCAGCAACACCGCTGGCAGCCTTTGCCGTTCGGTCGAAGCATCCGAGCCATCCGTGACCGTGAATAACCCGGGCTGATGGATGAACCCGATCTTATGGACAAGTAGCTTGATGTCATGGGTGAACTGTGTCTATGGGCCAATTTCTGCAGATTGGCTGTGAATGGACACAAATCCATGCTCTCCCGGAGTCCCGTCTGGTCGATTGATCCACCCTTTTCCCCTCTTCTACTAGTGTTTGAAGGGCCTATATCAAATGAGACCCATGTCGACCTCACTCTGGAGATGATTGGTGTTGTGGTGGAGAAAGATGGAGGCAAATGACCCTCGACAATCAATCGGGGGCCAGGCTGGCCATATCCTCGGATCCTTCAAGCGAAGGATGTCCACCAATGCTAAAGAATCGTCTGGTAATGATCTATGTAGAGACTCGAGACACGAACGGGTTTCTGGTAAAGACGCTCATGGCTAATGATGTCGCAAAATGTTGACGGCAGGGGTCCCGCGACTGTAACGTAGCATCAGCAGCAGGACTGGTAAAAGTCGAAGGTTGAGCCAAAACGGATTTCATTCATCATCAAGAAGTCTAAAGATCGGCAACAAAAGTGTTCAATGCAGGTGCGCTGAGTTGCCATGCAAGACAGGAGGAGTATTCCATTTTCGGTATTCTTCACGTCAACGTGGCAGAATTCACCGGATGTGACCATTATTTCGAAATTTTGTGACCTGTCGATGCATGTCGCTCCACAGGATGCCCACTAGTGGGGTCTGCTGGTACGCAATATTAGAAGGATTATCATTATCAATGAGGGGCTTCTCGTTGCTAGGTATGTAGAAATAAAATCTCGTGGTGTTTTGAACATCAACGCAGCTCGGTGCTCCAAGCATCACAGTCCCAGACGTTACCGCCATGGTGCATATCTTCTTGTGAGTGACAGCGATCAAATCTGATTTTTCGTGGGATCAGTACGGCTCATCTATAATCTGACATAGTGTCGGCGGCACTGGCCATATCGGCGGTGCTGTGCTGGACCAGCTCCTCCGGAAATATGCGGATGCGAATGTGAAAGTCCTCGTTCGGGACGAGAGCAAGGCTGCCCGCCTTGTTCAAACCTACCCACAGATTGAGACGGTCATCGGCGACGCCGGAAACTTTGATATTCTTGAAAAGTGCAGTGAGGCGGCCGACATCGTCATCAACACGGCCCCGGACATCACACATGACGACGGCATCAAGGCGATTCTGACTGGTCTGAAAGCACGTGGCGCGGCCAACGGCATAAAGCCTTACTACATTCACACATCGGGAGCTTCTCTCATTTGGGATGAGCCCGCCGGTTCCAAAGACGCCCGTCGGTGGGACGATCTCGCCGACATTGGAGACATCTGCGCGTTTAAGGGCGAAGCCCACACACATGCTGTTACCGATAAGATTGTGCGCGATGCGGCAACAGATGTCAATGTGGCCATCATGTCGCCTGGTTTTGTTGGCGGCATGAGTCCTTCCCTTGAGCACCCGACCCCGATCACGACGCCTGCCCTCCTACTCACCGCACGCGCTTTCAAGTCCGGCTGGCAGATCGCTGAAGGAGAAAACACCCACGCTTGGATCCACGTCTCGGATCTCGCAAAGATGTTCCTGATCCTTGTCGGAAAGGCCATTGATGGCACCTCCGACTCTGAACCTTTCGCCATCTGGGGTCCAGAGGCGTACTACTTTGGCACGAGTGAAGATATCTCGTTCGGAGAGTTCATGAAGCACCTTGCTCCTGTACTCAAGGATCAGAAGATCATTGAGAGCACCGAGATTAAGTCAGTCAGCGTGGCTGAGGCAGCAAGGGCTAGTATCGCTGGCAGCGACTATGATCCCGATGCTCCGCCGCCCCCGCCCGATACCTGGGCTATGCACATTGCCATCATGTACGGCATCAACATGCGTATTGAGGCGTCAAGAATGGCGAAGCTTGGATGGAAAACAGAGAAGGCATCTATCTTGGAGAGCTTCCCGCAAATAGTTGCCGGATTGCTCGCGCGAGAGTAGTCAGTTGGCACGGGAATCCAAGTGTTCACCGAAGACTACCATTCGGATTAACGCCAAACCTTTTTCTCATGTATTTAATTGACGATTCAGAGGCATTCAGTAGATCTGAGAACATATCTTAGTGTGCCAGCAAAGTATCAGATCAAATGCTATAATGAGGATCAGATTCTGAACCGAAGCAGGAGATTGAACGATCATGTATACCCAATCACATCAAGACTTAGTTCCAGGCTTTCGAGATTTTCGGCGCTTTCAGATTACAGCAACAGGTAGTAGCATAACACTTTGAGCATTCTTCATGGCCTGGACCAATACTAGCAGCTTAAAGCTTATAAGGTGTACCGATAAGCTGGGTGTCGATGTCCAAGAAGGTGAATCCTATTCCCGTGCAGTCGCTCATCTCGATCTCCCCGCTCTCGTTTCGAGTTTTCCCATCGACAATAGAGCATCTGTAGGCATACGGTGGCACAGCAAAGGACCAGAGATCCTACGCAGACCGAGTGGCCCAAAACATAATCCGGACTATGACGTTCGTTAGTCAAGCTGTATTCAAACGATGGAGACTCGTTGTTGGCGACTTACGCATCCTTCTGCAGGTAAATGAACGTGGCTGGAAAGGCAGATGTGTTTGCTAGGCCAATCAACAACCCAACTCCGGTAGCACGAACATAGTGAGGAGCCAAATTGTTGGATAGCCAGCCCTTGCTTCGTCAGCAGCGTGTTCACTTGAGCAACGAAGAGCTTTGTGACTCACCATGATCATCGCACTTCCAGGGAAGACTCCCGTTGCAATGAGAAACGTACCCCCATAGCGAACATTGCTTGACTTTGAGGCAAGAATCATGACATACCCACACAAAGCTACCATGCTTCCAACAGCCATGACAGGACCTCGTGCCTTGATTTTGTCCGAAAGAGCAGACGTGGCGAGCACGACAAGAAAAGCGGCGATGTTGGGCGGAACTGTGAGAAGCTGGATCTGAGTGGTGCTGCGATATCCGAGGCCCTGGATGATCGATGGTAGAAAAAGCGAGAAGCTCTGCCAATTGAATGACGCATGTTAATCATTGATCTATGTCTAATGATGTAGCGAATGTAGGGAATCGGACATACGTAAAGGGGAATAAGAAGGAATATCCATGCCAGAGTACAAAAGTATGTCTGCGGCGCGAGCACAGCCATCCTCACCCAGTGCCAGCTGAAGTGCTCATCATTGACGTCTTCAACGTCAGTAGCACCATGTGAGTCTTCTCTTAATCTTCTCATGGCCTGTGTACGTTCATCCGTTGTGAGGAACTTCGCATCCGCTGGCGTGCTTGGCATAAAGAAGAAGCAGGTTACACCGAAGACGGTTGTAATTGCACCCTCCACTATTGGGCGTTAGAGTTCTACTTCACCATCAGGTCTAACGTGGTTGGAATAAGACTTACCAAAGAAGATCCAAGGCCACCGGTTATAGCCACCATGTCGTATCGTTGCTAAACCTGTGGCGAGCAGCCCTCCAAAAGCGCCAGATAAGGGTGCTGCGCAGTAAAATAGGCCGATGCGATACAGCATCTGATGTCGACGATAGAACATTGCCAGGTACACAACGATACCTCCAAGTAGGCCGCCCTCGAAGAGTCCAAGAAGCAATCGACAGATCACAAGACCTGCGAAGGATTTTGTGAAGCCAAGAAACGTGCTTACGATGCCCCAGCAAGTGATGAGAGTTGGCAGATAGACGCCGGCTCGGACTTTCTTCACAATCCAGTTGCTCGGAACATCGACGAGGATGTACGGGATGTAGAAGACCAACAATGCAACATTGAACTTCGTGCCAGTTACCATATCGAGGTCCTCCAAAAGGCCGTCGATCTTGGCATTCCCAATATTGCTTCTATCGATGAACGCGAAAAGCCTGGGTAAAATCAGTTAGCTTCTGGCACTGTATGGGTTCCAATCCAGGCTCGAGTCTTGCCAAATGCCGAAAAGCCAAGGAATGATGTGAACGTCAAACTTGCGATCGAGACGTTTGCTTAAAGTAGGGTCTATTTTGTAGTGGACCTGGGAATGACGGATGCTCTCCACATGGCTCTCTTCGGGCTTGCTATTCTCGAAGGTACGATGGGTCTCCGGACCATGGTCAACGGCTGTCCCACGTTCTTTGGACTTGAAAAACATTTTGGGCCCTCAACCGAAGCCGAAGACGGAAGTAAGACGGTTGGGCAGCGTCGGGTCAAACAAGGTTTTGGAGATGATATGTTCAGGAGAGCAGGCTGGCTATTCAGACATGAAGCTCGACGGTCCAGTCACGGCAGCAACATGGGTAACACGTTCGGGGCATTTATCATTCCCAAGAACGCTAGGCATCTCTCACTCGCACACCCGACTATGACCAGAGACGCTAAATCTCCCCCGCAAAGCTTATGCGATGGGTGAGCACTTCGTCACCACCCCATGGGGTTGATGTGCGGGGAAAGCCAGGGTAGACATTCGAATAGCCATCTCGAAAGATTGAGAAACCGAAGGGACTTCTACGTTATGGCAGTAAACGAACCGCTATAGGCCCAGTAGCTTGCTTATCGCGATTCAGATTGGGGAACATTGCCCGGCACAATATGGCGTTGTCGACGGCTATTCATCAGAACAGCCGGCTGACCACAATAGGGAAACCGTAAATCAAATGGCGATACCTACAGGTAGGCGGGTTGAGAAGAGCGACGGATGACAATCAACAGTTTTTTTCTAATGTCTGAGAATAATGCAATGTATCACCACGTCGTTTCAGAGTAGAGTAATCGATGTTCACAGCAATATTTCCTTCCAAGCCCGTCATGGCTTAACTCCTAGTTCCTCGAAAATGGCCTCATTATGCTCGCCTAGCTCAGGTACTCTTTCCATTCTTGATGCCTCTACCGAAGCAAAACCAGGGGGGATCAGTGCAGGAATCGTGCCGCCTGGTGTCTCGACATCGGTCCACCTGCCTCTCGCTCGCAGTTGTGGGTGTTCCCATACGCCTTGCATGTCATTGACATTGGCATTAGCAATAGACGCTGAATCCAGCTTTTTCAGAACCTCTTCAGCCGAGAACTTTGCGAACTGCTTAGAAATGATTTCCTTCAGCTCATCTCGGTTCTTGACGCGAAGCGTGTTGCTCACGAACCGCGGGTCTTTGGCCAACGCTTCATCGCCCAGGACAGTCCGGCAAAGATTGGCCCATTCCCTCTCGTTCTGCACACCTAGCATGACAGAGCCGCTGCCGCCAGTCTCAAAAGGGCCGTAGGGATATATGGAGGCATGAGCTGCCCCAGACCGAGCGAGACCGGGAGCCCCGTTGTAAGTGTAGTACAGTGGGAAGTTCATCCACTCAACCATGCTTTCGAGCATGGAAATATCTATCCGAGTGCCTTTGCCCGTCTTGCCACGCTTGATCACTGCAGCCAGAATGTTGGCATAGGCATACATGCCGGCAGAGATGTCAGCAATGGAGATGCCTGCTTTCGCTAGATCCGGGCCGTTCCCTGTGACGGAGAGAAAGCCTGCTTCGCTCTGCACCAGAAGATCGTAGGCTTTCTTGTCTCTATACGGCCCATCCGAACCGTACCCTGAGATGTCACAGACAATCAAAGACGGATGGGTATCTTTCAGGGTGTCATAACCAAGGCCTAATCTTTCGGTGGCGCCAGGTGCCAGGTTTTGAACCAAGACGTCTGATTTGGCAAGGAGCTTCTTCAACACCTCAAAGTCTTTTGGTTTCTTCAGGTCTAAAGCCAAACTCTCCTTTGAGCGGTTCGCCCAGACAAAGTGGGAGGCCATACCGTTGACGCGAGTGTCATAGGCCCTAGCGAAATCGCCAACTCCGGGTCGCTCGATTTTGATGACTCGAGCACCCATGTCCGCCAGCTGACGGGTGCAGAATGGCGCAGCAATGGCATGTTCAAGGCTGACGACAGTGACACCCTCCAAAGGCAGTGGGTCTCTCTTCAGTTTAGGAGATGAAGAAGTTACCATAGGTCGATGCTGCGATCCAGTGCGTGTGGAGGGTGCCTGTGAAGAGATGTAGTTGAGACATCGTGAACTCTGCTTTGGTGTTGTGAATGGCCTTGACAACGTAGTGCCGTTCGGGAATCGAGAGGCTAATACCGAGAAAACAGCCCGGGGTGAAGACATGGTAGACAAGGGTACACGAGAGAGAAACGTCAATGTGGAAGTAGGCGATTAAAGTTTCTGATGATCTGATGAGATTGCCGGTGGTGGAAACTTGGCTTCAATCTCGAAGTTTCAATCATAACATGATATGGAAACTCAACGGCTTTTTAGCACTTCCCTACGATGGCATGAATGTAATTATCACTCCGTACTGGCCTCGGCTCGAATTCTTGGAGATGCGCAACCAGATCATGGGGTAGTCAAAGCGTACGTAGCGCTGGTGCGTGCAGCGTCGGTTTCTTCAACCCAAGTCGGCTATATGCAACCCCAGCCCAAGCGTCGATCACTTCTTAGTGTCGTCATTTTCTAGCTCGCCTGGAAGACAGTAGCCGGGCTTCGGGTCTATTTGCCGGACTTGAGCTACCCTTTAGTTGCCTTCATGCTTCGATAGTCATGAATCGGCCTGGATGAGAAGACAATAATACCTTGAGCGCTGATCATACGTGCTCTCTTCAACCACACAGAGCTCTGCAGATTCTCACTTAATCTTCATCAATCATCATTATGTCAGCCTCTTTGTCACGAAATCTTTGGCGCATTGCGCGACCAGACATCAAGACCGCGGGAAGCCTTCGCCGGGCACCGATAACCTCAAGACATGGCTTGGCAGCATTCTCAACATCCTCATCAAGGAGGATCATGGAAACCACGGGGTTTACCGAGAATCAATTGACTGTTCGAGAGGCAGTCAGCCAAGTCTGTTCAGAGTTTCCCAACACCTATTGGCAAGAACACGATCAGAACGAGCAAGACCCCAAAGAGTTTCACGCTGCTCTCGCAAAGGACGGCTGGCTTGGCATTGCCTTGCCTGAGTCCCTAGGCGGCTCTGGCCTAGGCATCTCTGAAGCGACAATGATGATGCAGACCATCACCGAGTCCGGTGCCGGCATGGCTGGTGCGCAGTCCATTCATGCCAACGTCTATGCTACACAACCGCTGGCCAAATTCGGAACTCAGGAGCAGCTCGAGAGTACGATCCCCAAGATCATTTCCGGGCAGTGGCGTACGTGTTTCGGGGTCACAGAGCCCAACTCTGGCCTCGATACTTTGCGCCTGGCCACAACAGCAAAGAAGCAGACCGATGGATCGTACCTCGTCACTGGCCAGAAAATCTGGATTACATGCGCTCAGGTAGCATCCAAGATGATTCTGCTTGCGCGCACGAAAGCCTACGAGGACTGCAAGAAGCCGAGCGAGGGTCTATCGCTCTTCTGCATCGATATTGACAAATCACAATCTGGCCTAGACATGCGAAAGATCAAGAAGATGGGGGGCCGCGCCGTCGATGCCAACGAAGTATTCTTCGATAACTACCATATCCCCGCGAGCTCACTCATTGGCCAAGAAGGCCAGGGTTTCAAAATCATACTCCACGGAATGAACGCTGAAAGGTGTCTTCTCGCCGGCGAGGCTCTCGGCCTAGGCTACGCAGCGCTCACAAAGGCGTCAGAGTACGCGCGTGATCGCGTTGTATTCAAGAGGCCAATTGGGCAGAATCAGGCCATTGCGCATCCCCTGGCGGATGCATACATGAAGTTAGAGGCGGCGAAGCTTGCGACATATCACGCCGCTCGGCTATACGATGCCAGCAAGGAGGACTCTTCTATTCGTCAAGATCAGGTTGGAGTTGCGGCTAATAGCGCAAAGTACATGGCTGCTGAAGCGGCTTTCACGGCATGCGAAAGGGCGGTGCTTACACACGGAGGTATGGGCTATGCCGCAGAGTATGATGTCGAGAGGTATCTACGTGAGATCTTTGTCCCAAGGATCGCGCCTGTGTCTCGCGAGATGATTTTATCGTACATTAGTGAGAAGGTCCTGCAACTTCCTCGCAGCTATTAGAGTAGAACAGAGTATAGGTACATGAAATAATTGAATCTCTATCCACCATAAGGGAGGCACTCAAGGAGCGCAATCTGCATAATACTGTAGAGGGCGTTTCTCCCTTCTCAGAACGTCAGGTTCGTGCGCTAGATTTATCGAAAGACTTGTAAGCTAATCCGAGCACCGGGTGTTTGGTATATACTGGGGAATGAAGACGTCTTGATCAATTACACTCACCGCCGCTTTTCCCTCTTAGCTGTAGTGCTCCTGGTTCTCGGTCAGCTCGGTCAACATCGGAGACATCGGTCAAGGAGACCCATTCGGTGAGGGGGTCCACGGAAGAAGAAGCCGAGACGTCAAAGCGTTGCCTGTGGAAAAAAACAGTGCAATTGAACCGGCACTGTACGGAGAGGCTGGTTGCGCAAAGATATTATCCATGTTGTTCCCGTCGCAGGCCCAGAGCACCACCTATCTGCGCCTTAATTCCTGATACTCGAGGGACGTCTGAAGGGAGTTCTAATGTCCTGCTCATAGTATCTACTGCGGCATGCCAAGCACCAGTGCCTACAATGCCGACAGAGGGTTCGAAGAAACCGCGCGCGAAGCACGCGTGTAGGGAGTGCAACTCGCGACGCATCCGCTGCAATGTCACCGAGCGCCACCCTTGTTCGAACTGCGAGACTGCGCAGGCGACTTGCGAAGTCATCCCGTCGCGAAGAGGCCGGTGAGTCTCTCCTGTTCTTCTCCACACCGATATCTCCGAGTCGGCAAATACTAACTTGGCCGGTCTAGGTATCTACGGAAGTCCAAGAGGCAGAAGCAGACGGAAGAGGCTGCATCGGCGACCCCAGAGCCCGCTGCCCCGGCCGTGTCGTCCGCGCTCACCGCCGATGTCGCCGCGACGCTTGCTTCTATGAGTACCGTGTCTCCGTCGCATGGACTTCCGAACTCCTCTGGAATATCGCAGACTCCTTTCCACGCCGATACACCTGCTTCGTGCCATTCCTCTGGGACTACGGGCGGCAGCCGGTTCTTTGGAGAGTCGAATTTCATCACTCTTGTTCCTGGAGCATCAGGACCCGGCAACGAGGCTGCGACTAGTGATGGGATGTTGAAGGGTCGTCTCACCTTTCCAGTGCCGCAGACGC